AAGAGTTTCAGATGGAAGGGAGAATACCAGTTTTAGAACCGAAGGAAGTTCAAAAATACAAGCACTGTATGGATAGGGGGCAATGGGCTCTATGTTTCCCACACTGAAGGAATTTGCTTCTCCTGGGTATTATACTGGGAATAAAGTTATAGGAATAAAATAGTCAAAGACTTAAAGTCTTTTGTTCAGTTTGGTAAATTAATACATAATTTCATCTTGGAAGAGTAACAAGTTTATTGTCATAAAGTGTAAATATGACTAGAACATATTCTAAAATCTCTGAAGATATAGTTTTTAAAAAGCACAGATGAGTTGCCCCAGCCATGTCACTGAAGAGCCCATGTCAACATGGCCATGACTCACAGGAACTGTGAACCTCTCTGCACAGTTTGCAGGTTGTTCAACAGTATGAGCACTCTCCTCTCTGTGGGTAGGCTGGTTAGGGTCTCCTCCCCCAGCAGCTGCTTACTCCTTTACTCCTGGGGAATGCAAGTTTCTATTCTTACAGGCAGACCTGTGACCTTCTGTTGCCCTCTGGAGGCTCACATCCTTAAGCCCTCCCTTCTGGAGGGGATGTTTCAATTCAGAATAAACTTCCATATAATAGGACGTGATAGACTCCCTTTTGTAAAAGTGAAGGAGGAAAAAAGTATTCCATCCTTTCATCCACTAATAAAAAATCACCACCATAGTTATTGGCAATGCTAGTTTAATTAGATAAGTAAACTAAAATCTACGTGTAGCCTGACTTTGGAAAACGAAATACATTATCTCTCAATAGCCTCCAAATCTGCTGTAGCCAGGAGCTAGGTTGAGAAAGGACATGCTGTATAACTTTGTATTACCCTAGGATCAGAAACTCCTAAGAACTCCTGTTTCTGGGACCCATAGACATTCCACTGGCTTAGCTCACGTGTAGGAGTCAAACTATCCAGTACCATGACTGGCACTATAGGGAATCAGTATTGTGACATGAGGGGAATGGAAGGTTCAGCCCCTCAAGAAGCCAGGGAACAGGCAGCCTATTCAGGGGGGCAGGCTTGTCTAGTCATGTGTCATTTCACACCATGCCAGGATGGAAGACAGTCACCTATATGGTTCCACTTGCTTCTTACCATACCAGGAACACAATGGAGTCAAGGAAGAGATGATTGTGTTCAAGTGTTCTAAAACTCTTAGCATGTTCCCCTCATTCTTTCTCATTTTTTCTGCTTAAATGTGATATTTTTGAAAACTTGTTATAGTGGACATTTATTTTGGATGTTCAGTATGATTTCTCCTTCCTTATAAATGACCTCAAAATTTCCTCAATATCCATTCAATTAACTTAATCTTTTTAAATTCATTTTGCTAGTATGTTTGTTTTTCTAACCCTAAATGTTTGATATTTCATAAACTACTTTAAGAGAGCATTCATATTTTAACATTCAATACCTAGAATGATGCTTTTACCTAAGAGCCTCCAGGCAGCAACTAGATCTGGGAATTTCATTTCTGCATAACTTTTGGAGTCTTTGTTCCTCTTAAGTTAGGGAACAGTCTCCATAAATCTCCATGATCAGAACCATTTGTACTAAAAACAGTATAAGCATCAAAGAGACACAGAATGTTATATCTTCTTGGCAAAGTACATGTTGGTACTGTCAGATCAATAGTCAAAACAGATGCTTTGGGTGTCACTACTTAATTTGTTTAAGACCACAAAATATACATAGTTCAAGAATTATTTTATGAGATCAACATTATTATAATTCATAGTCACTATGTGGAAAATTTTAATTCTTCAAATATTAAAAATTTCAATGTTATTGTGAAATATAACAAATTCTGAAAATCAAACCAATGTTTTTATTCTCCTCATCACAAATAAATTATGAACCACAGCCAAAATATAAGCTATAACTAGGTTGTAGTTTAAACAGCATATTCTTAGTTCAAAAGAGTATTATAACTCATCAAATTGATAACAATAGACACCTAACTTTGATAACTACTTTGGCAAACAGAGACTCTGCCACTTTTAAAAGCTATTTCTAGTCTATTCTGTTTTAAATACCATTCCAGATTCTTTAATAATATTAATATATCACAAATTACTTTCTCCATGGAACAAAAATGAACATTTTAAAGCTTGCAAAATGACTAATTCTAAATGTTGTCAAATTAGGTTAAGCAATTTAATGCAATTACTAAATGTACTGACTTCTTAAAAATTATCGCAATTAGAGAAAGTTTCAATGTCTTTTATAACACACATAAATAGCTTGTTTTAAGCCAAGTTATTTGGGGAGGGAGGCTGGCTTCTTTTCTTTCTCGCAATTCTAGTAGATGTTCTTGAAGGCATAGTCAAATTCAAGATTTTGTACATAGCTAGCATTCATATGAATTAGATAAGATCTTGTCCCATCTCAGTTTTTAAGCTAACGTTGTTAAATACATGGCTATTTTGCTTTATAGTCAGCTGCTGTTGTGTATGTTAAGGGTAGCTCTCATCATATGCCATGCTGATCTGAGTTTGGCAGGTTTCAGATTTGCTCCATTGCCTGGATAAGCCTATACCAAATTTCCAAATGAAAATACAACTATTAATGTTTGTAATTTGCTAGGAGCTCAGAGGGTTAGGAGATGATGCAGTAAATGATATTCTATTCTTACTGCCTTAAACTAAGGAAACAAGTAATACTTGGATAAAACCACTCATTGATACATTGTGATTATCATGTTTGGCTCTGTAACAAGCTTTTATAAAAATTGAGGTTATTATTCCAAGAAATATCTCAAATAGCTCACTAGGCATATGCACTTGTCACCTGAGCTCAATCTCTGAGATCAGTATGGTTGAAGGAGAGAAATGACTCTTTCAGGTTGACCTATAACCTCTGTGCATGTGTTCACATGTGCACACAAACATGCACACACAAATAAATAAGCAGTTAACTTGATATTTATTTGAGGTTACCAATTTACCCTTAAGTAAGTAATGTATTATCCATAAATGCTTGCAGAGCAAGGAGACATGTCAAACATGAACACGAACAACAACAAAATATTCAATGTGATTGAGATGAAAGTGGGTAGGTACACAGTCTGGAACTGGAGAGGAAGGGGAGGGCTAGATTTTAGAGAGCCAACACAGGATCTATAGTCATCAAAAAGTGAGAAGCAGGGAACTGGTATGGCTGGATTCACTTTTTCCTTACTTTGTGTACACATATGTGTTTGTTATGTGTGGTGTATGTAGTCCAAGATCTGGGGAAAAGGGGAATGCAGACAGCCTGATCTCTGATACTCATTGGCCAGCCGGTCTGGTTGAACTGGTGAGTTCCAGGTTTGGTGACAGACCCTGGCAAAAATAAAACGGAGAGTGACAGAGAAAGATACTGGACGTCAAACTCTGGCTTCCACACACATCCGCGTGCACATGTGCTACACACTACATGAACTCATACATACACTTGGGCTCTGAGGATTGAGCTTGGGTCTTATTGCTTGTACATCAGATACCTGACTGAACGAACTTTCTTCCCAACCCTAGGGTTGGCATTTTATAAAGATACTCTGAGAGCACCATAAAGGGTTGTCAGTAGAGTGTTAATTTGGAGGATGTTATCATAGCTTACTGAAGAGAAAATGATGGGTCAGTCAGAGTAGAGACTACTACAATTAAGGAAAGGTGAGTCAACTTGGAAGGTATTTAGATAAAATATCCATATGTTGGGGTAGATATAGAGAATGTGATAGTCATTTACTATTACATAAAATTTATTACCAATTTAGCAATTTGCAATGCTTACTATTTAAAATCCATGGATGAGGAATGCTCCCTGATTCAGATTCAAAGGACTGTCATCAATGCTGACTGAAGATGGTTTGAATTATAAAAATGGGCTCTGTGGTTGGATTTAGAGTCATCTGAGGGACAGACATCTGGGCCTGTCTCTTAGGGTATTTCCAGACAGGTTTAATTAAGAAAGATGCACCCTGAACACATATGGACCATCCCGGGGGCTGGGATCCTAGACTAAATGAAATGGAGGTTATCTGAATCAATATTCATCTCTCTGTGTTCTGACTGTGGGTGCAATGTGACCCACCACCTCATTTTTAATGTCACCATGCCTTTCTTGGACTGTATCTCTGAAACCGAGAGCCAAAGAAAAATGTTCCTTCCTTAAGTTGCTTTTGTAGAATATTTTGTCACACCAATGGAAAAAGTAACTAATACAGGCTTTGCCTGTCATCACGTGTCTTCTCATTAGAGACTAATAAACGTGTGACTGTGGAGACAGGATTGGTGAGCTGTAGCCAAGAAATGACAATTGTCAAAAGGATTCTCCTCCTGCCTCCAGATGGAGTGTACCCTGTTGACAACTTCCATTTGTACTCTCTGATTTTCCAAACTTCAAGAGAGTAAATTTCTCTCACTTTTCAAGTCACTTTGTGATAACTTGTTACATTATCCACAACAAACTAAAATATTCGTCCAGTGCTGTTCCCTATCTGTTCTAATTATTCAGCCCAAGTCCTGATTGTTTTCTCATTCATAATTGCTGCCTTTCTCACCTAACATGTAACCTGGGTGCAGGCATGGCTATCTGAAACACTTAAGATAACATTTACCTAAAGAAGCCCTAGCTTTTGAAAGGGTTCAGTGATCTTGCATAAACATCCTCATTTCCTAAGGGCCTTCCCAAATTAACATTTTGCTGTTTCTCAAAGAAACCTAGTATGGGAGTGTCTGAACCAAAGACCCCCTGACCAAACTGTTACCAGTTTACAATATTTAGAATCCGTGGGAAGATACACGATCTGAGTTAGAGCCTGGGAGCAACCTTTTGCTTTTTTAGCTGATGGATTCCAACTTGCCACAGGTGGAGAAGCCCCTCAGTTGCCCGGGCAACGCTTCAGCCTAGCTAGAGGGAAAGCACCCTGAAGGGCTCAATGCGCAGGCGCCTCCCGGGAGCCAATGGGCGCGGCTGTTCAGACCCGAAGCGGGCTGCGCGGTTCCCGCGGGCACGGTCGGTTGTGTGCCCGGAGGCGGTGGCAGGCGGTCACGTAGGTTACGCAAATCACTCCGCGGCCGGCGGATCCCGCACTCTGCGCCATCCCTTGCCGCGGCGCCCCGAGCGGGGTCACCATGGCGCGAGCCGGCGGCTGGAGGCGCCGCTGACGGCGGGCGCGTGGCACCGAGGCGAGCCCGAGCCGGCGGGGCCCAGAGGCGGCGCTTCCCGCCCACCTCCAGCCGGCAAACTCTGTGCCCCCAAACCCCGGGCCCTCTGCGGGAATGTTCAAAAATGAGTACCAGGTAACCCAAAAGGGCTTCCTCCCCGGCGCGAGCTGGCTCGCCTTCTAGGGTGTGAAACTTCCACTCCAGGGGTGAAAAATAATTAGTGGCTAAGTCGTCTTGACCTTGAGCTGTTCAGGCTCCGGCTGAGTGCTTTTTAGTGCAGAATCGGTGGATCTGATTGCTAAGCAGGTCATGCCCCCCCCCCCATGCCAGACATCCGGAATAGGAATTTGGGCACAGGACCCTGATCCCCTCTGGTATCTTAGAAGCGATTTAAAAGTTAGTGAATGGATTACTTTAAACCCAAGATTAAAGTAAGCACTTGGGCTGTGTGCTCTTTTCTTTTTTCTATGACTCTCCTGCATTGGGGTATATGAGGATCAGTTGGGGAAACTAACAAAGCAAACAAACAAAAAAGATTTCCTGACCCTCCTTCTATAGCTGGTGAATGAAAAATGTTGATGGGCTTCTGTGTAGTTTTAAAGCAACTGCCAAGCAAGTCTGATCCAAGGATTACATTTGGAACACACTGTTTCTCAGTGTTCCTCGGACACCTTCCTCCATGGATGGCATGCCTTCCTCAGCTCCTGTCTTCATCTTGAAATTACCGGTCTATAGATCGTCTTCATCTTGCTGTTAGGAATATTGTCAGAGTGCTGTGACCCCCACCCCCAGGCTCCACCCCTTTGTGACTTCATCCCTTTGGCCAAAGCACTACTTGTCCTTAAAACGCTGTGTGTTTTAGAAATTTGTTCTGTGGGTTAGAATAGACCTAGTTTAATTTCAGCATGTAGATAAAGTATAATGTTATGAAATAACAGATGCCCACTGTGGGCAATTTGGAAAACAGAGGAAAAGAACTGGGAAGAAAAGATTTATTGTTTCTCCGATGTTCAGGGTATTTCTTTTTAAAACCCAGCGGCCTCAAACTTACAATTATGACCTGTCCTTAGAAGTAGTAGCATGTACAATTACGCACATAATAAGAAAGAATTGTTCTACATGTCACAATCAAAACATATGCTTTAGGAAAAATGTTGGTGAGTTTTTACGAAAGCTAAACAGGTTTTTGTAAAACTCAAACAATTTCTTTTATGTACTTTGTGTAATCCAAATCATACTTAGTCTTAATCTCAGCCTCTAAAATTTTGCAACAAATTCTTCCTTGGAGAATTTGCAGTAGGTAGCAATCTATAGAAAATACTCCTTTCATTCTTCCTATATGTCTCCAAATTATTTGTTTAAAAGATACTGTTGAGATGTTCAGTAAGAACTGCCTTCCACATATACCCAATCCTTCTTGGGTCTTTTTATGAGTATAAGTTACTTTCCCTCTCTATTGAATACTTTTCAATGGCACAATTAAGCCCTTGCTGCATGCCAAGTATTGTCCCTGATGACTTATGCTTGCTAGCCAGCATGATGCAACAGCTTATGTGACAGATGGAAAAATCAAGATGTTCAGTGGCTCAAGACTCAGAAAATTAAAAAAAAAAGGTATTGGAGCCCTAATCAGTATGACTACTAAGTTTATATTCACACATAATGATAAGACTTATTAGCTTAGTTCACAATTGGGTTTAAGCCCTTTAGTCTAGTCTTCTCAGAATGCTTTGAGAACCTGATCTATACAGGTCAAGTCAATGAACCCCTTCTGTAATATTTCTATGGCACAGTTGATGTTTATGATGTTTGTAAAGGTGAGTTCCTTAGTAGCCTAAGGGGATCCAAATCCAATGGTTGTGACTATATACAGCCTAAGTATAAAATAGTCATAATAACAGGGATAATGTTCTTTCCCCGATCTGACTGTTTAATTGACAGATGGCTAGAACACTGGTTTTAGACTCTGTGGTAGATAGAATTTCTCCCATAGCACTGTATTTCACTGTGAATTTCTTGTTTTATTTTCTAGGGAGGTGCATTTGTTGAAATTTTTAGTGCTCAGGGGAAAAATCCTGGAGCAAAATGGAAGATCTTTGGTGGTCCATCCGTGATTTGGAAAGTAAGTGTTAGAAGTGTCAAGGGATGTGTGGGAAGGTTATAGAAAAAGGGGCTTGGTTAGATTTCAGAACTGGTTTTCTTATCCTTTTACCACCAAAAGCTTCGTGTTGTTAACTGCAGCCCCTCCACCACCACCAGACACCACCCCTTAGCTGGTTAAGACCGCCACATGGTGTATAACTGCTATGTGTACTTTGAGTCCTGCTTTATCATTGTAGGTACTTTGATATCACTGAAGAAAACCTCTCTAGCCCCAGGCCTTTGGGTTTCTTGATTTCATCGTCTTTAATGACATCTGATTCTGCTGCTGCCTGTCACTGTCACATCCTTGACCTCATCACCACAAACAGCAGGACCTCTGAAATTACCGAGTGAGACACAGAGACATTTTCCTGCTGACCTCGGTCTTTGATTCTCAAGGTCACTTGCTCAGACCCTCCCACTGTTTGTTCTTCAGTCTGATTGGGACCTTCAGGTCATATGCTTTTCTGTTTCCCCCTTGTGGTTAGTTTTTATTGACTTTCTCTGAGATCTTACCTCTTTCTCTGCAGTGCAGAAACTAAAGTATCATTTCAGTCGCTTTTCAGGAAGGACCTAGAAAGCCTTTGCTCTTCAGCCTATCATGATGCTTGCCTAGCCAGCCCTTGTCATACCCCTGTCTTTCCTTTGCCTTTACCTGGGCTCCTCAATACTTTTGGAGAAAATAATCATAGTTTTAAGATTGATAGCACTGTAAATCCAATCCCAGTAGTTCAGAGAATTATCCTGTTGTGTTCTTGTCAGTATCCAAATGATCCTTTCTGGTCATCTTCAGTTTCCAGCCACCAAATTGCCTACTCCTAGGCTCTGCCCACAACTAGGGCCTGCCTTCCTGAGTCACTTGATGCTGACACACCCACTTCCCAGGGAAAGCAGGAACAGGTGGAAGCCAATTTTCCTTGCTGCCACCATACCTAAAAGCCTGTCTCCACGAGATGAATGCCTTCGGGAGAACATTAAGGATACCTGTGTATGAAACTTAAAACTACTGTTGAGTGCTTAGTATTTGCTAAGCATAACATTAGATACATTACATAATGTTACATAATTTAAATAACTTTGTGAGACAGATAGCTACATTCCCCTCTAACAGGTGAGAATATTGACGTATAAAATAGACAAGGATAAAAATTGTGCAGTTTTTGCTATGAATGAAAGAGAAATGGTACGTGGAGAGCATGTGTCAGTGAAGTTAGGAGAGGCTTCCCCAAGTAAATGACATTGGATTCTGTTATGGTTTGAATATAAAATGTACCTCCACAGGTGGTATTGTTTTGAGAGGTTATAGAAACTTTGGGAGGTGGGGTCAACATGTAGGAAGTGGATCACTGGAATTTGGCATTTAAGGTTCTTCTTGGCATTCAAGGTTCTGTTTCTTATCCTGCTTCCTATATGATATGAAGAAGTTTTTCCACCAAGGCTGCCACCACTATGATATTTTGCCCAGGCTCATGGGATCAAAGAACTGTGGATTGAAATATTTGAAATCCTGGCCTTAAAATAAGTATAGTTTTGCTTTCAGTTTTTATGTTGGGTATTTCATCACAGCTGCCCTAAGTAATGAATGCAAGTGCTAAGTGTCAGCCAGGCATCAAGACAGGTAACTACACGGAAGAGCACACCAAGTAAAAGGAGTAGTATGAACAGAACCCCTGTATAGGAGACAACTTGGCATTCTCAAGAAACTGAGAAAGTTGTTGGTATTAAAATGAAAAGATTAAATTTGAAGTGCTGGGTAGGGACAAGCCTATAAGTGCTTTGTGACAATGTTGAAGGTTTGAGTAAGCTGTTGAACATGTGCATAAATAAATAATATACTTGGTATATGTATGTTCATCGCAAATACAAAGGGGATGCTATTACAGTGGCCATTACATGGACTCATGACAAAAGTCTTATTTATTAAAAAGGGATTTATTTTTATGTCTATGTATGTGTTTGTCTGTGTGAGTACATGCCATATGTGGGGTGCCTGTAGAGACAAGAGGACAGCCAATTATAACCTGGTGTGGCGACATAGATGGTTGTGAGCTGTCCAGCATGGGTGCTAGGAACTGAACTTATATCTTCTAGAAGAGCAACAAGTGCCCTTAACTGCTTAGCTATATCTCCAGCCCCTTGGCTTAACTTCTTAGGTAGCGTTGTTACATTTTAGTTCATATTATTTTAAATATTTTAAATATATATAGCTTTCAAAGTCACAGTAGATGTGAAATAATACATATTTAATTCCATTTGAGGTATGGCCTGAAAGCAAAGCACTTCTAGTATGAATTCAGCTTGTGTTAGATACTGTCTTCTGCAGTGCAGGGAGTGGCATTCAGCTGTGTACCTAGATGGGGATGCATACAGGTAGCAAGAGGCAACTACACCCCGAGCCAGTTATTGGCTTTGGAATCCCTGAAACTGGAGAACTTTTTTCATTTGGAGGAAACATGTTTTCATATAATAAGAAATTAGCCACATGGCTAGTGTGGTTTTGTGTTCCATTCCCAGCAAGTCTCAGGAGAAAAGCCTCATCAAGGTTTGAGTCTAGTTTTATGTCTTTTGTTAAAAAAAAAAAAAAAAAACTTTTTCCCGGGAATTTGCAGTTCCAAGTTTTACAGAAGATGCCAAATAAGATATGCTTCAATTACTGCTATTTTCATTTTGCCTCATAGGAGTTTGATAAAGAAGTTAAAAGTTTTGTATTTATCCTGGAAGGCAGCAGCCAGACCAACAGAATTCAATTACCGAAGGAGAATAAGCAAATCCGTGAGTAAGACTTCTAATACTGGAATTCAATGTTTGAGAGAATTATGTTTTTTTTTGTTTTTAGAAGCAGGCATATTAGTAGGACCTCTGTGGCATCTGCTGGTGTGAAGTCATATGATATTTTTAAAGTAGAAATTAACTGTATGTAGAAAAATATCCTCTCTCACTATCTTTACATTTAGAACTATTTTAAATCCAAGAAGATTATTTTAGTAACTACTTATTATAATAGTATTTGCTGAGCACTAACTTTATTTTATTTTTTTAATTATTTTTTTTATTTAGGTTAGAAATAATCTTGTTTCACATGTCAATTCCAGATACCCCTCCCTTCCCTCATCCCCCGCCCTCCCCACCAGGTCCCATAGTCCCCAACCCAATCTCCACTTCGATCCCCAGGGAGGGTGAGGCCCTCCATGGTGGATATCCAGTGACTGTCATTTCATCAAGCGCAGGGCCTAGGCCCTCCCCCAAGAGTCCTGGCTGAGAGAGCCTCCCATATTGTGGCATGGGCACTCAAAGTCTATTTGTACACCAGGGATAAATACTACCCAAGGGCCTATAGATTACCTAGGCCTCCTCACTGACACCCACATTCAGAGGGTCTGGTCAGTCCCATGCTTTCCACACAGTCATTAATCTGGGGTCCAAGAGCTCCCCCATGTTCAGCTCAACTGTTTCTGTGGGTTAAACCAGCCCAGTCTTAACTCCTTTGCCCATCCGTTCTCTCTTTTAGACACTGGATTCCAGGAGTTCAGTTCAGTGTTTGTCTGTGGGTATCTGCCTCTGCTTTCATCAGTCACTGGATGAAGGCTCTGTTTCCTAGACTTTCTGGCAGTGGGATTGTATGCTGACACTCCCCTGATTCAAGTCTAAAATCCATAAATGATTGAGTACATACCATGTTTCTCTTTTTGTGACAGGGTTACCTCACTCAGGATGGTTTCTTCTAGTGCCATCCATTTGCCTGCAAATTTCAAGATTCCATTGTTTTTTTCCACCTAATAGTACTCCATTGTGTAAATGTACCACATTTTCTCTATCCACTCTTCAGTTGAGGGGCATCTAGGTTACTTCCAAGTTCTGACTATTACAAATAATGCTGCTATGAACATAGTGGAACAGACATCCTTGTAGTATGAATGTGCATCTTTTGGATATATGCCTAAGAGTGGAATTGCTGAGTTTTGTGGTAGACTGATTCCCATTTTCCTGAGGAATCTCCATACTGATTTCTAAAGTGGCTGTATAAGTCGGCACTCCCACCAGCAGTGTAGGAGTGTTTCCCCTTTCTCCACATCCTCTCCAGCATAAACTGCCTTTGGAGTTTTTGATTTTAGGCATTCTGACAGGAGTGAGATGGTATCTCAGAGTTGTTTAGATTTGTATTTTCTGGATGGCTAGGGATGTTGAGCACTTACTTAAGTGTCTCTCAGGCATTTTATAATCCTCTTCTGAGAATTCTCTATTTAGTTCTGTACCCCACTTTTTGTTTGGATCCTTTGGTGTTTTGGAGACTTGCTTCTTGAGTTCTTTGTAAAATTTGGAGATCAGCCCTCTCTCCGATGTGGGGTTAGTGAATATCTTTTCCCAATCTGTGGGTTGCCTTTTTGTCCTGCTGACTGTGTTTTTTGCCTTACAGGAGCTTCTCAGTTTCAGGAGGTCCCATTTATTAATTGTTGATCTTAGTGTCTGTGCTACTGAAGTTATGTTCAGGAATCAGTCTCCTGTACCAGTTCATTCAAGGGTGCCTCCCACTTTCTATTCTAAGAGGCTGAGTGTGGCTGGATTTTTGTTGAGGTCTTTGATCCATTTGGACTTATGTTTTGTGTATGGCGATAAACATGGATCTATCTTCGTTCTTCTACATGCCAGCATCCAGTTATGCCAGCACCATTTGTTGAAGATGATTTCTTTTTTCAATTGTATATTTTTAGCTTCTTTGTCAAAAATCAGATGTTCATACATGTATGGGTTAATATCAGGGTGTTCAATTTGATTCCATTGGTTTCCCTGTCTATTTTTGTGCCAATACCAAGCTGTTTTCAGGACTACAGCTCTATAATAGAGCTTGGAGTTAGGGATGGTGATGCCTCAGATGTTGCTTTGTTGAAGAAGGTTGTTTTGGCTATCCTGAGTCTTTTGTTTTTCCATATGAAGTTGATTATTGTTCTTTCAAGGTCTGTGAAGAATTGTGCTGGGGTTTTAATGGGGATTGTGTTAGATCTATATATTGCTTTCGGTAAGATTGCCATTTTTACTATGTTGATCCTACCTATCCAAGAGCATGGGAGATCTTTCCACCTTCTAGTGTCTAATTTCTTTTTTAAAGACTCAAAGTTTTTGCTATACAGGTCTTTCACTTGTTGGGTTAGCATTACCCCAAGGTATTTTATGTTGTTTGTGGCTATTGTAACGGGTGATGTTTCTCTGATTTCTTTCTCAGCCCTTTTATAGTCTGTATATAGTAGGGCTACTGATTTTGTTGAGTTGATCTTGTAGCCTGCCACTTTGCTGAAAGTATTTATCAGCTGCAGGAGTTCCCTGGTAGAGTTTTTTGGGTCACTTATGTAAACTATCATATCATCTTCAAATAGTGACTGATTGACCTCTTCCTTTCCAATTTGTATCCCATTGATCTCCTTTTGTTGTCTTGTTGTTCTAGCTAGAACTTCAAGTACACTATTGAAGAGGTATGGAAAGAGTGGGCAGCCTTGTCTTGTTCCTGATCTTAGAGGAATGACGTTGAGTTTCTGTCCATTTAGTTTGATGTTGGCTGTTGGTTAGCTTTTATTAAGTTAAGGTAAGTTCCTGTTATACCAGATCTCTCCAAGAACTTTGTCATGAAGGGGTGTTGGATTTTGTCAAAGGCTTTTTCAACATCCAGTGAGATAATTATATGATTTTTATTTCTCAGCTTGTTTATATGGTGGATTATACTGATTGATTTTTTTATGTTGAACCAACCCTGCATGCCCGGGATGAAGCCTACTTGATCATGGTGGATGAGTTTTCTGATGTGTTCTTGGATCCAGTTTGCCAGTATTTCACTGAGTATTTTTGCATCAAAGTTCATGAGGGATATTGGTCTGAAGTTCTCTTTCTTAGTTGTGTCTTTGTGTGGCTTGGGTATCAAGGTTATTGAAGCCTCATAGAAAGAGTTTGGCAAAGACCCTTCTGCTTCTATTGCATGGAATACTTTGAGAAGAATTGATATAAGCTGTTCTTTGAATTTCTGGTAGAATTCTGCATTGAGGCCATCTGGACCTGGGCTGTTTTTGGTTGGGAGACTTTTGATGGCTGCTTCTATTTCCTTAGGGGTTATAGGTCTATTTAAATTGCTTATCTGTTCTTGATTTAACGTGATATCTATCCAGAAAATTGTCCATTTCCTTTAGATTTTCAAATTGTGTCGAGTACAGGTTTTCAAAGTATGATCTGATGATTCTCTGGATTTCCTCAGTGTCCATTGTTATGTCCTCCTCTTCGTTTCTGATTTTGTTAATTTGCGTGTTCACACTCTGTTATTTGGTAAGTTTGGATAAAGGTTTGTCTATATTGTTGATTTTCTCAAAGAACCCACTCTTAGTTACATTGATTTTTTTTGTATTGTTTTCCTTGTTTCTGTTTTATTGATTTCAGTCCTCAATTTGATTATTTCCTGGTGTGGATTCCTCAGTGGTGAGCTTGCTTCTTTTTGTTCTAGAGCTTTCCACTGCGGTGTTAATTCTCCAGTGTGACTAGGGTCTAGTTTCTTCATGTGGGCACTTAGTGCTATGAACTTCTCTCGTAGCACTGCTTTCAAAGTGTCCCATAATTTTGGATATGTTATGTCCTCATTTTCATTGAATTCTTGGAAGTCTTTAATTTCTTTTTTTATTTCTTCATTGACCCAGGGATGGTTCAGTTGTTCATTATTTAACTTCCATGAGTTTGTAGGGTTTCTGCAGTTTGTGTTGTTGTTGAATTCTAATTTTAATCCATGGTGGTCTGATAAAATACATGGAGTTATTCCAATTTTTTTTGTACCTGTTGAGGTTTGATATATTGCCAGGTATGTAGTCGATTTTTGAGAAGGTTCCATGTGTTGCTGAGAAGAAGGTATATTTTTTTCTATTGGGGTGGAATGTTCTATAGATATCCGTTAACCCCAATTGGGTTATAATTTATATTAATTCATTTGCTTCTTCGTTAAGTTTCTGCCTGGTATTCCTGTCTAGTGGTGAGAGTGGGGTGTTGGAGTCTCCCACTATAAGTGTATAGGGCTTCATATGTGATTTGAGTTTTAGTAATGTTTCTTTTACGAACATGGGTGCCTTTGTATTTGGGGCATAGTTGTTCAGAATTGAAACTTCATCTTGGTGAATTTCTCCTGTGATGAGTATATAATGACCTCCTTCATCTCTTTTGATTGATTTTATTTTAAAATCTAATTTGTTAGATATTAGGATTGCTATCCCTGCCTGTTTCTTAGATCCATTTGATTGGAAAATCTTTTCCCAACCTTTACTCTGAGGTAATGTCTGTCTTTGAGGCTGAGGTGTGTTTCTTGTGTGCAGCAGAAGGATAGGTCCTGTCTTTGAATCCATTCTGTTAGCTTGTGTCTCTTTGAGAGTTAAGCCCATTTATATTGAGGATTATTAATGACCATTGATTGTTCATTCTTGTTTGTTTTGGAATAGTTGATGGTGGTGGAGTTATATGCGGATTTCCACCTCTTTTCTTTTGGCTGTTGGTAAGGTGGGATTATCTATTGTCTATGTTTTTCTGGTTGTAGTTAACTTCTTTGGCTTGAGGTTTTCCTTCCAGAACTTTCTGTAGGGCTGGATTAGTGGATATGTATTGTTGAAATCTAGTTTTGTCATGGAATATCTTGTTTTCTCCATCTATAGTGATTGAAAGCTTGCTGGCTATAGCAGTCTGGGCTGGCATCCGTGGTCTCTTAGTGTTGATAGAATATCTATCCAGGAACTTCTGGCTTTCAGAGTTTCCATGGAAAA